CCCTACAGTGTTATATGAAAATGAGAAGATTTGGTATGATTGGCAATGAGACAAATCTCAACCAAAGACCAAATGACGTAGAAGTTAGCAACTATAGGTCACCGAAAGGAACGGTCGTCAACAATGAGCAAAACCCATTACGCAAAGCCAGCTATTAAAAAAGGGCCCGAAATGACAAATGTAAATTTATTTATCGACTTGATTAATGCACAAAATAAAACAAAAAAAATAAATGAAATAAAAATAAATATGACACATGTATACTGCAACAAACGACAACCATTGAATTATAAACTCCTGACTTTGAACAGGCGTATACACAATAATGTGGAGGGTTTAAACATGTTTGCGGACGCCCAACCGTCCTCTAACCTGGTACAGTTGGATAACAGCACAACATTAGAAAAAAATATATAAAAATCAACTTGACAAAAGAGCTTAACTTATCAGATCGATTCAAAGCACAAAAAACAACAAACAAAAACACTTCAAACACTAAGTAAAGATCTTCGAGTACTCGCAGTTACTGAAAGCTAGTTCAAAGCCAATAACAACTAATAAAACAGTCATGTATCTACGACTAAATTATCAATCAGTACACATGTATTATGCATGGTTGCAATGCTGACAGTATTGTATTGTCATTATGTGTCGGTTAAAATCTCTACAAAGCGTATGCAACTTGTAAATTATGCGTATCGACCTTAAATAAAACATCAATGTCTATTTCTATGATAATGTATGTAAAAAGGCATTAATTATCTTTAGACTGATAAATCTGTCTCAAATCTGAGCGTAGGTATCAAGCCAGGGGACAGCACTCATCAGTCTTTAATTATCTTCTCAGTATGTTAATCGACGCGCTGTATTCTTTTGTAACAGAAAAATGAAGTTTGATAGGATTTGTGATTGATTGTTTAAATAACGTTTGATTAACGTCCAGTGGCAAACATTTCAATCATATTTTGTACGAATACAATGAAAACATTGAATGAATAAGAGCAAGAGGTATTTTTAAATGGACAGATTAAGATGAAGGACGGATTGGCCAAGAAGGTTTAATCCACAATGCCTGTACCAAGTCATGAATATGACAATTGTTTTCCATTCGTTTGATGTGTTTGAGCTTTTAATTTTGCCATTTGATAAGGGACTTTCCCTTTTGAATTTTCATTGGAGTTTGGTATTTTTGTCATTTTACTTTTTGGATATAATGCCACTTATTATTCTGAACGTGCAACAGCCCGCCTACTTATTCCAGAAAGAGTTATATAAATGATTCTTTAATGTGCTTAGATGGAACCCTCTCCAAGCATTTGGGCGGATGAACGTAATTATTTCCGTCTAGACCTGAATGCGTATTTATAAATCCCACATAGCTCAACGGACGTCTCTCAATTCAACTCTAACCACTGGACGGAAACAGTTCATTTAGCCATGATGTTTCTAATACTGGTACCTGGCTGTTATTTGACAAGTTTGACTTAATAATTGCATAATGAATATTTTACGGAAGGGGCTAACCTACGTGTTTCTATATTAAAGTCAATTATTCGAATACATGCTTTGTGAGAACGATTTAAATAAAGGGTTGCTGTTGTCGTACATTGTTAAATCATTTTGTTTGTTTTAATATTACCCTGCGTATTTTCCGCAAGGTTAAGCAGGTGCAGGATAGATATGCCAAAGTATGGCGTGTGACACGTCACGTGTCCATTTATACGGTGGTAACTATTCGTCTGATGACACGGAGTTATTACGTATACTCTTTCCGAATGCATATGACAGTTACATTATCAAATTTAAGTCACTTTGGTTGTAGTATATCGCCCGATGAAAGGACGTTTCATTTATCTTGCCAAATGTTAATGACAGCCAAAAAGAAAATATTATTTTAGTTTAGCGTTTTTTACTCAAAACTACTGTCCTGCCTATTTTTTTCTAATTTCATCCTAGCCCACCCCCCCCCCCCCCCCCCCCCCCCCCCCATAAAAAAACAAATGGTAGCTCCCTAAAACTCAAACATGGAAGTTAGAGTGAATAATTGAACCATGTCAGACAGTGATGGTAAAAACCAAGTTGGTATTAAAAATTTGGGCATTAGCGGTTTTGAAAGACATAAACTGGACAGTTTGGATGCTTTTAAGAGCGTGTTCTCAAAACGCTAATTCAGTCATACAAAAATGAAAACTGTTACATTTGTAATTATCAGACAAGAATACAATACAATGTATTATGTATATCACTATTACTGTTTTTATTCGAGCGCCATTGTTAATTCGCATCACTGATATAGATCTGACATACTAAATTGTATCATTATGCCTGCTACAATGTATCTGTAAAGTGTTTTACAATGAATTACATGTATAAATCAGTAGAGCTTATATATGATAACGTGTAAACCCGATCAGTCAGATCAAGTGTTACGTATATGCATAAATTTAACTAACGATTTATATTTTGATGTATCAATTTTGCACAGCTTCTTGTGGATCAATATCCTTACTCACACGAAGGAGAAATAATCCCAGGGTTATATATAAAGCAATGGAAATACGAAAGTCTTCAATATCAATAAATAGCTTCCAAAAATGAAATAAGATAAACCTCATTTGAATAGTAATTTAGAATGATCTGCTTGTTATCTATACAATGTGCTAGAATCTGTGGACCTACTGAAACGACAGTATCTTCTTTCTAGCTCGAATTACAACAAGTGTACGTGTACATGACTTATCAAAAGTAATCTAAGTTTAAGACTTTAGACTTTATATTGTTGTTTGTGCAGCAATATCATTGAATCATCTGCTTCCGGTGAATAAGTAACACAGTTAGGTCACTTCTTTAAAGCTATTGTCCACTTCAAGAATGTATTAAAGGAGCACACACACTGATAGACAGGTTTAATGTCTGAATTGACTAAATATGATTTGCCTGGCCGATAAGTTGTTCATTTACAGTTATCACTATCATGTCAACTTTGATGGTTTGATTTCGAATTCTTGCTCGTGGCGAGGTGTGTTCGACTCCGATATGAATGGAAAAGGATTGCCAGTGGTAACGTTGCCGAAGGTCGTTGGTTCTCGCTTGGTACTCCGGCTTTCTGCACCAATAAAAACTGACCGCAACTGTACATACATGGTTGCTGAAAGTGACGTTCGTTCGACACCAACAAACAAACAGATTATAAAATATTTCAGATTCTGTTATTGGTTTCAATGATAACCAAATTTTACTCATTTCCAAATTTGACATCTTCGGAAGGCTGCATGCTGGCATCACCTCTTTTGTTGGTAATTCACATTGCCAAAGCATCAATGCATGTATGTGTCTGTCAGCTGTGGTACATACATGTACGAATAAAATTATATGTGAGGTAATTGTAAAACAAGAGCAACTCAGCAACTATATATAGAGGTTAACAAACAATTTCCCATAGACAAATAGGAATGAAATAATGTCAAGCACTGAAAAGTAAAACAACAAAAATACCGATCTCCACTGAAAATTCAAAACAGAAAATCCCTTAACAATTGGCAAAACACATCAAACGAATGGAAAACAACTGTCACATTCCTGACTTGGTACAGGCATTTCCTTATGTAGAAAATGGTGGATTAAACCTGGTTTTAAAGCTAGCTAAACTTCACTTGTATGACAGTCGTATAAAAACCTCACCAGAGGCAAATTCCCAAAAGGGGCTATTAAAATCCATACACAGAAAAAACAAACAACGCCATTGCCAAAATAATTCGAAACAAGATAAACAATAGTACCTTCTCTAATTTTTTCACTATTTTCACATTTCTCAACCAATTGTGAAACAATTGTTCTCCTCACTAATGAAGTAACTGTTCTCGACAAATGATTGGTTGAAATTTAATTATGACGTCAATTTTTTTTTGGTTTCTTCAGAATTTTTTATTGTGACGTCATTAAAAAAGGCGACCATGCCTGATGACGTCACATATAAAGAACACAACTTTCTGCAAATCTTTGAAAAAGAAAAATAAAAATCATTAGAGAAACAGATTCCACCACTATTATCAGGCTTATTATGATATTTCTCGGCCTCGCGCTTTAAATAGCAAATTTTAACTGTCTCGAGTGGGGAAATATCGTAACACAGTTGTTACAGTGATGGAATCTATTTCTCCACTATCGAAACTCATCGCGTATCTCCTGTTAAAGTAGATATATGACTCATATCCAGTGACTAAGTCCAGAAGTTTTTGTTATAGACGTTGAGAAATCTTTGGCGACCCCATGCGTAAATGTCCTTTTTTAAAACAACTTAATAAGTGAGATGAACGTTAACCTGATCTGACCCAGCCAATGAATGGTCATGTCCAAGCTGTTATGGCGTTGATAATATATATGATATGATATGAATATGATACTTTATAAGCTTGGTGCGTCCGAAGCGCTTTTCTAGATTAAATTTCATCAGGAATTCCCAAACTTAATATTTGAAAGCCAAGGATTTATAAATACTAGCTGACTACAAGAGGAATCATCTTTAAACGTTTCAATATAATGGATATTGTATAAAATTATCGGTGATTTTGTCGTATCACCAGCTTCGGATGAAATTGCTTATGGTGGTACCAAACACCTTGACTAAAATGAATTTGGCTGGTTTAATTTTCATAAAATTTTGACAAAACATTTACTTTGACCCGTTGACAAAAAAAAAAAAAAAAAAGATGATTTAAAAAATTTGAACCACACACTTTATCGGAAAAATTTCATTGGATATATAGCAGTTTGACAAACATTAATTTTGATCATTGAGAAGCTTAGTATTTCCTTAACAATAGGACGTGATTGAAACGTTCAGCTGACTTTTACAGAGTTATCTCCTTGTAGTGTTATGTACAAATGTATCACCTTAAGACCTGTGTGTGCTGTAATCACCAATACCATAAATCTTGGTAAATCAGCAGTATGTCTCTTTTTGTCATTTTTGGATTGCGGTTGCAAGATCAAACACTCAGTTATTGAAACTTATTTATTTTGAAAGCAAATGAGTAAATACAGACACTGAATTACAACTTTAGGAACACATTCACATTAAAATAGGCATTTCCTATAGGCAAGTAATGTTTCAGTAAGTTCATGAAGATACCTGAAGTAAACTGAAATAAATAAAAAACTTAACTATTTTTTTTTTATTCAAATATATACTGAGTGCCAATAGAAACGCAAAACATCTCGTTCAAAGTCACGTTTGGTCACATTCTAAACCCGTTTGGTCCCTTTTGAATACACATTTTAAAATGTTGGTTCAATGCATTCTTCAAAACATTGGTTACATGTTCGGGAGCTGCCATTTGATTTTATGTCTTGCATTTTTTTAGTTGTAATCTCTGTCCTGCCTTTTTATTTTCCACTCTATTCGGTCCTGCCTTTTTTTTTTAGTTTATCCTGACTTTTTTTTACATAAATTGCCATCCTGCCCTTTTTTTTTGCAAAGTGTCTCATCCTGCCTTTTTTTTACTCAAAACTCCTGTCCTGCCTATTTTTTTCAAATTTCATTCTAGCCCCCCCCCCCCCCCCCCCCTATAAAAATCAAATGGTAGCTCCCTTACTTTACAACTTGAACTTTCATTAATTTGTTTTAATTTTAGAAACTTGCAATTAACCCCATAGGCGTCAAAATAAAACTCACAAATGTTCTTCCAAATGTATATACACTGGACCAGATTCAAGAGAAAATTCTTAAAAACATTACTTTTTTGTTTTTATCAATTTTCATATTTTTGGAGGTGACATGTACTAATATGGAATTTGCAAACGTTAAAATTAACAAGCTCAGGAAATTCAGTGAAATGATCAGTGGGCATATCCTTAGAAATCTTAGAACCATTGATCAACTTCCAAAGAAGATCTGTCGGTTTGAATTTTTCAGTAAATTAATGGGATAGCTTTTCTACATGTGTATTAGTACTCACAATAATACATATGTTTACACAAATCTTTCACATTTTGTACAACGTGTTGCTTCGTTAGATTTGTTCTGAACCATCAAATGGCAACATAAAGTTTGCTTGAAGTACTTCAACTAAATATATTGAATTTTATGTTTATACGCTGAGTAATGATAATACTTGCTTGATGATTTTAACGAAAAATCAATCGAAACTACTCGGCCATTCTCGCTTCGCCCGAGAATGACCGAGTAATTACGATTGAACGAATAGCTTCATCTCATCTGGTATTTCTAATTGTTAGTGCACTATTATAATAATATGACTTTGTTAACACTTTGTTGGACGGTATATTCACAAGGGGTTCTGGTTTTTAGTGTTTATCATTGCATGAACAAAAATGTACATTAAAAGTCTTAAAATGACCTGTTTGTGAGTGCTCAAGTCAGATATATTTAGATTGTCTATGTTTAGATTCAGTTCTATGGTAACTTTAACGAAATATGTTTAAAGTCAGGGTACTTTCCGCCATGTTTTAAATATGTCAATCATCTGCTTCCGAAAATCAGGATTCATAAAAGCATACACGAACGGATTACTGACGTTGTACGTAAAATATAAATAAAATATTGTCACATTAAAATCAATAAGGTCATGCATCATCAACCATGCAGGTAAAAATACAATTATAAAAATAACGGCCACTATTGAAAGCATCAATGCAGTTTTGATATTATTCATTCGGATCTTCTCTAGTTTACTGTGTAAGACACCTTTCGTACGATCGGTAAATCCATTTTTAAATTTTCCGGAGCATGACGATTCGTTCAGATTGATATCTTCCGTTTGTGTTGTAGCATCATTTCCAAGGTACACTATTTCGGTATTGTCGTTTTCTCCAATGGGACTCTGTTTGAAAGTGCAACACGGAAATGACTCATTGCGTAACCGTCGCCTCCGTCGTTTTAGAATAAAGCCGTAAATTATACAGTAAATGAAGATAACGGCAATGACACAGACAGCGTAAAATGCCGAATGGATGGTTTTGAATGTTTGTGCACCTTTCTTTCCAAATGTTAAATAGTTGAAATAGCAATGACCAAACATAACAATGTGTCTCTTTAATTCATCGGTTTTGTTGTGTAATCCAGATTCATTCATATGCAAATTATGGGCTTTCATTAGGTTGTTTTCTATTTCTTCGGGACTCAGATTCGGATCTATTGTTGATGTTTCGTTGAGCAAAGATGTCAAATTAGATTGCCGATCATCAATTTCATAAATATAAACTCCATAACTAAGACATATAAAAATTCCAATAACAAAGGCAATGATTACCGACATGCAAATTAGAACCCCAGCACGCGATACAGTCATAACTCTCATAAATGGACGACAAATGCAGAAATATCTGTCAATTGCAATCATTACCATTGTTAGAGCTGAAAATGAAATAGTACTCGTTGTCAAGAAATGAAAAATTTTGCACAAAATATCATTTTCCATTTCAAATTTATTCAATTCCATTGCAATTGTGGCGGGGATTGTTATCAAACATGTTGTGAAATCCGTCCCGGCGAGCGTAAGAATAAAAATAGTGGATGTGTACTTTGACCTAGCACGTGTAAATCCATAGAGAACTAAGCCGTTTCCAATAACGCCAATTACAGAAAACGCACACATGATCCCGACTGCAATTTTGATGTCAGTTTCAAGTTCTTTCGGCTCCTCCCCCTCCATGTCTTCCGAACAGTAATACGTCACAGATGTAACAAGTGCAGAACGTCACAATATCTGAAGAAGAAAGATGAGAATTTGACAAACTGTCAGTTTTACATTAAACATGACGAACTAATCGTAAATTGATACAAATCTGTTTTAGATCAAGGCTGAAAAAGTATTTGATAGTTTGTTTACTTGATGCTAGGGATCACTATTGGCTATTTTATACGTTTCACGTCCCGTTATTCAAATCTCATAAATTACTATATGATTGGTTGTTGGTAAATGTTCTTGTTGACAACAAGTGCTGGACTTAAGGATCGGACTGAATTTGGTCGACTATAGGCATTATGCCAGGGTTGTTTTTTTTATGTCAACTTAAATTTGCAAAACCTACATTTCTTTTAAACCAACTTCGTCAGGAAAATAACACAAAAATATAAACACGCTCATAGATTAAACATTTTTAACATATAAATATTTTTCTGTTCAATGATATTATGTAATCAGCTTCATATCAGTAGTGGATGTTTTTATTTGGAACCAAACAATGATATACGGCACACATTGAAATGATCCCATAATATTGTAATACTAGGCTTTATTTTTCGCAGATACTAGACATCTCGATTTCAAAGACCAAACTTCTTCGCGAGGTTTTATTTTTAAACTTTTTAATATTTTTGGCAAATTGTCTTGTACAAGTTGAAATATTGAATCAAGGGAAAATTTATCTTTTCAAAGACGTAAGGGAAAATACGATAAAGAATTCATTCGAATTTGTTTTTCGGATCTACATGTCGTTTGTCTAGTTTACGGTTGGAAGGTCGTAAGGCGGTTAAAGATATTTATTAGAATCAAATGTTAGGCGGTTATTTATATAAATACGTTTTTATTAATCATCTCGCACATATCGAATCGAAAAATGTACACTTCTTTAGAAGAAATAGATATAACCTCTCCATAAAGGAAATGAAATTTTACAAAGGGAACGGACAGTCGTCTCGAAGTTCATCAATATTGTGGAAACATCTTAGAAAAGACAACGAGCACTTATAACTGTTCTTTCCATGGCATGGTTAATGTGAAAATATGGAGATACGGTACATTTGCTAATGATACAACTGTCCACCAACGTTCAAATGGAGTGGATGTAAGCAATTATAGGCAACTGTACGGCTTTCAACAATGAGAAAACCCCATACCGTATAGTCGGCTATAAAAGGCACCGACATGAAAAATACGAAACTATTCAATTGAGAAAATTGAATTTGTTTTCAACTTACAAAATGTATGAGTTGGAATGTCCTTTTTGATATCTTTCCCCTGTTTTTGATAACTTCGGATAAATCATACTTAACAACACAAATAACGCATTATATCTTTCAAAATATAGCAGTTTCAAAATTTCTTGTTTTGCCCAAAATTTGTAGAAATTTAGTATATTTGAAGCATATCCTTGAAAAGAATGCTGAGTTTACAGAGAGATTTTCATTTTCATAGCGACAATTTAGATTTATCAACGGTTTATGTAGAAAAATCTGAATTATTTACAGAGATTGTGTCGTCTAAATATTTGTATGTATTAGCAGATGTATTGTTAAAATTTCTATAAAGTATTGTTAAGTTGGGTCTTGATATGCGTGTAATTTAGTCATTATATAAATAACACATAGCTGAGAGGGTGATAGAGCAGATTGTTACCCCGAGAAAACATTGTCAACTGAGACGAAGCCAATTAAAGTTGACAATGTCTTTTCGAGGGGTAACAATCTGCTCTATCACCCTCTCAGATATGTGTTATTTAATTTATACTGAATGTTCTGTTATTACTGTTTATCAAATTTCAAATTCAAATTAAGTAATAAACTATGACGTCTTGTACATAACAACCATCCTTATCTAATAAAGCGCACACTTGATCAAGCATCTCCGTGAAGGATAATAGAGTATTTACCATAGGATAGAGTAAATTGTCTCCCTCGTATCAACCAATCAAAATCTGGCATTTTGACATGAAGTATAATAAAATCTTTTATTCATAAGAGTTAATAAGAAACACAGCTGGTCCGCATTGAATACCAAACACATGACAATAGAATTTATTTCAGGCTAGGGGTTCCTAACTCAGGACAGGCGCAAAAAAGCTAGAAATTTTCGGAAATTAAAGTATCACACAGTCTAAAACATAGCAGAATAAATATTGTTTCATGTTTAGTTTTATGTTGAAAAAAAAATGTTTTAATTGTATTCAGATGTATATTATTGTGTTAATGCCAATTTTCACATAATATTAATAATTAAGATATTGGTAAATTTCATTGATACTTGAATAAAAAGGATGTCCTACTAAAAAGTGAACTTTCTCGATCATGTTAAGAAGTTTAATCTCGTTTCACATTGGTAATCTTTGTTTTTCTTACTGTGTACCTGACAGATATGCACTGTTCAATGTCGTAAATCTCACAATTGTTGCCTAGAATTATTAAACTAATCCGCTTAAACAAAGTTCTTTCAAGTGAACAATAAACAATCATGATTAAGGCGTTTAAGCGTTTATGCAAGATTTTAATGAGTCAGTTTTTCTTCCAAATCTGCGTCTTTAGACTTTATTGCATTTTTATAAAATTGTATAACGTAGAACTAATTTTCACATGTGTTTAAAATAATAAAAAAAAACATTTAAAAGACAAACAAGATGAAGATTTGTCCTCCGTGTTTTTCTTTCTTGGCTTAACAGTCTTGTTGTAAAGTTTATAATCAATACATCTTGTAAAGACTTGTAATGTTTTTTTTATTAATATCGATTCGCTCATTTAAATTTTCCTCTTTATTGTATCAAAATTCTGTATACAAATCGGCCAAGCAAAAGATCGTGTTTTTCGCACTTATTCATGGTGTTGCTTCATAGTACATGAAAATACAGCCAGAGATGTGTGAGTGTAAGAAGTCGAATTCTATTCATCAAATTAATTACTTTGCGGTTGTTTTTCTTGAAATTTTATTCTGCTACATTTTACAACGGTATGCTTTTTTTTATTTGTTGACATTTATAAAACAAAATACGATTTTTCATGTGTTAGCATTTATATAAGTTCGGAAGCTTACCGGTATAATGCCTTTGACAAATTAATTAGTCTTGTCTTATTAATGCAAAATATCAAGGTTTAATCTCTATATATATATTTGTATTTTATGATTGTTTAGCCTTTAGGCATAATCAAAATACTAAGTTGTCGTGTATCTAGATCTAGTCTAAAACCGCAGAGATTGGAATTTGGTTCATCAGATTATTTTTTTATGCTACTGTTTTGTTTGACCACGGCTTTTAAACCATCCAGAATGATTTCTTGTGTATAAGTTGATTTACTCTTCTGTCGATACAAGCAGTATAAATTTGCCATTGAAAATTACATAAAAAGGAATGAAAGGAATCGCTATCAATACCACAACAGGTATAAAAACTAGGACAAACAACAACGAACAACGCATGTTATAAAAAAAAAAAAAAACAGAAGCAGAAGAAATCTAAGAGACCCGATGATAAAAAATGATTGACTCAACACAATGACCAAAAGAAACAAAGACTAACAACATACAACGATTTAGATGGTATTATCGACATTGTGGGACATTCTTGTATATTCTACGTACAGTTATGCAACTCCTGTACTCTCTTAAGGAAATTGAATAATGTCCTGTTACATCTAAGTATGTTTAAAACACTGACTGACCGGAAGTAAATGAAAAAGTATTCGCTTTAGAAATCGGAGAAAAACATGTTACCAATTTCTAATAATGTGGCGATATTTTTGGTATTTTTATATGTGTTCAGACTCTTTTATTGGATATTTTTCATGCGTTTTCTTTTGAAAACTGTTGTGTTTTATATTCACTTAATTTGTGGAATAAATATAGCCAATTCAAGTGAAAGGAAATATTGTTTGTTTTATTTCGAAATAATTTCTTTTATAGATTGATCAAACTAACATCATTAGCTAGCACGCTTGCACCTTTAAGCAACAGGTTCTATTCATACTGACTGTGTGTGGGCGAAGAAGTCGCCATATAAGAGTTAGCTTAGAGTTGGGCCTCTAAAACGTTTATTTCCGTTTTTTATTCACGCATTTTGTAATAAAATAATTCCTTCAAAAACTAATTAGATGAAGAAAATTCCTGAAATAATCGATTACGTCTTCAGTGTACAACAAAAGCGTAATAAAGAAGGCATAAAACTTAAAACAACCCTCAGGTAAAAGCCAAAAAAAGATTTCTGGTAGACTCATGAATTCTATAGGAAGAATTAATTGTTCACGCGGACTGTTGTCCGTACATGTATCATTCCTGGTTTTGTTTTTTTTACGCCATAATAGTCTAGATAACCATAGGTGGTTTGTTCACACGTGAGGCTCATTTAATATAGTCTGGCTCCCGTCCGGTATTTGACTATGTTCGTTTATGTATCATTCAGGGTTTGTATTTTTGTTTTACGCCATATAGATTAGATAACCAAAGGAAGTGATTTGTGCACACATTAGTTTCTTTTAAAGAGTCAAGTTTTCGTCCGGTATTTGACTACTCGCCAACAGTTTTTTGTTAGGCATACTGAATATTTACAGAGGAAACGAACCTAGATAAATCTGATCTTACCAAAGTCAGGCAACCTCTGTCAACATATATTTGAACGTCTAACAGATGTTCACATGGAAACTTTGTTGCCAACAATGCCATAATATCTGTTTATATTGGTAACAAATATTCTATACCCTTTGTGCCGTTCGGAACACATACTGTTCAACAAATATTTGTTCCAGGAGAAATAATATTACATAATATTTCTTCCATTTGGAACTTCTATTATGAAGGAACTTCTATTTCATGACACCCTGACCATGTATTGTTCATTGTTTTTTGTCTTTCTTTAGAAGAGACCTCGGTGACCGAGTTGTCTAACTAGTTTAACAACTGTATCACTAGCATGACAACACTGCTGAAGTAATGAGTTCAAACCCCGCACGTGGCAAATGAATTACACTCCAATCTTAATTGACTTAGATTATCAGTTTTCCTAC